AGCTCCCAGTTAGCAACGCAGAGGGTCAGGCCAGCAGGTCTGGCTGGCGGTGAACTGCACTTGTGCCTATACCGGAGTCTCTTCTCGCCAGGGTAAATCAGGCTGCCGTAAGCCTGTAAGCTCTCTTCTGCCATGGGCACGCTGCTACCACCTCCAGAAACAGCCAGTTTGAAACCAGTTTGCGTAACTCTACAGTACGTTCCTTTCCAGAGGTGCAGCACATGTACCTTTAGAAAGAGCGATGTCTATGAGGCAGGAACCTGCTCAACTCTTGAAACCCAGGCAGGCGATTTTACGGGAAGGTGGTTGTACCGAGTAGCACAGCAATTCTTGTCATTCGGATGACAGCAATGGACTTCGGCCCAGAGGCACGCAGCCTCCCTGACCAGCCCGGCTTGTATTTGTACAGTTACTACAATATATTCCTAAAATTTTTTGAGTATTTTCTAGTCATGAAAAATTAGTCGATGCCACTCCAGAGCACTGAACTCCCTTGGAACATTTCCTGGTTTTTCAATAACACTTTCTCCTGTGTAGCTCTCCGGCCCCAATCCTTGCACTGAAGGTGGAATGAAGGTGACTAACCCATCAATCCTTTGGGCCTTTGCCAAGGTGACCCAAAACCAAAGCCTCAGTAGAGACGGAGCAGAGCTGTGATGAGTAGAAGGGTGTAAAACCACTACACCCATTCGTTACAAGGGAATCAAACTGGTTTTTCATGAGGTGTCATTACAAAGCACTGCCAAAATGCCAGACCTCACCTTCCTAATAGCAGGTAGCAGAGCAGAATCGCATATCCTTGACTGCTTAGTGCTGGAATACAATAATCTCACCCGTGGTCATGAAGACACACCTGCACAGGAGGTCAGGAGCTCTCAGCACCCAGACAAAATCCTCTTGTCAGCAAACGCCGGGCAAAAGCGAGGCTGTGGCGAAGCGCCAGCCTGATGGCATTGCCACGACGGTGAAACAGCGTGTGCAATCTGGTAACAGAAACGCCTCAAACGTGCTCTGTTGCAAGTAGGGAGAAGCCTATTTATTTCTCATCACCAGCTCAGCAAGCTTCCTCTGGGCTCTGAGGCAAACAAGTTGCTTTCCTTCTCCCATAATAAGAGCCGAGTTGCACCATCACTTACATCTGTGGACCTGGCGCTTCCCAAAGGCTTGCACAAGCATTAGCGAAACCTGGTAAACAATTCTCTCAAGGAGCAGAGTCCAGCCCACTCCTGCCGTGTTTGGCTCTGAGGTGCTAAAAGCTGTGGAAACTCATGCTAGGGCTTGGGGATCACAGCATCCGCGGTTCCAATAACATAGGCAAGGATCTACCGAGTCAGAAGGCGCCCCTTTCGGTTTCACAAAAGGCTGCGTTTGAGCACTGTGATGCACCGTGGGTCCCTGTACGTGTAAGTCACTGACGGTGCTAAGCTTCCACACGTTTGTGTGATTCAAATGTTATCCTCCACCTGAAACCTCCTACTTATCTGCCTCAGGCTCGGCTTAAGTCTGCCTCCGTGCCTTTTTGCTCACTGGACATGCAAGATAATTTCTGACCTGCTTTTTCATCAATAGCTCCTCTTACCCGCTTCAAGTAATTACAACCGAGCCACGCTTTTTCCTTTTTGGCACTGAGGTGTGTCTGGACAAGAGCTTCCCCCACGCTCTAAGGGCACGACTGAAAGGTATTTCTTAGACTGTAACACTCCTCCTGTGCATACGTCGCCTTCGCAAGAGGGGAAATGGGGTTCTTGGTTACTTTAACTCCACCTAGAAAAGCACTTTTATTCCTCTCTCTCTCTTTGCCTCCCTCTCTTTTCTCTAGGCAAAGCAACAGAAGATATCTCCTTTATCTCTCCCGCTGCCTGTCAAACCAAGAACAGTCTCAGGTCAGCAGAATGAGGAGCTGCGGCAAGAAAAAGCCAGGAAAGCAAAGTGAGAGAGATAAGAAGTTTGACAAGAACGCTCTAGGAAAGCCTTTGAAGTTTTTAGCAGCTCCTGTTGAGCATTACTAAGAACGGCAGATTGCAACTGCAGTTGACCCTAGATATTTGGAAGGAAATTTTGTTAATGGGCATTTTGCTTTGTAGCCTCCTGCTTGCTGACACACACACCCCCCGAAGACACAGGTCGCCAAGAGGTGGCGTGACAAATAAATCACAGGCAGGAAAGTACAGAAGGATCTCACTGGCCTGCCCAGAAAACACAAGACGGGACTTACGCAGGTGCTTATTAGGATGAGAAAACGAGTGGAGAGGAGGAGGCGTGATCAGGGATAGAAGAGGCTACGGATAAATCAAGGCTCCTCCTGTGTTGTGGCCAGGGCTATAGGCACAGCGATGCCAGGCTCCAGCACAGCAACAATGCCTGTTTACTTCTGGTTTGGAAAACAGAAGCGAGTCAGCCTGCCAGAAGAAATGCTGGGAACTGACCTAATTATATAGGGAGTACCGAGGCAAACCAACTTCAGCGTGACGCAATGCTTCTTTCCATGCCCAGCTCTGGGAAACTGCTCGCCCCCATACAAGCAAACCTCTGGTTTATGCTTCTTGTTTTAACCAGACACGTGAGGGAAACCATCTTGCCGGCTGCTCGTTATCCAGCAGACCTGAACTTCCAGTGCCTCTTGTTTCTGTAGCACCTTCTGGTTGTTACTGTCACCTCTTACCTTGACAGTCCTCCAAAGACACAGGGAGATGAGTAACCCTCCACTGGACCTGTGTCCAAGGACTGAGAGACAGCATTTTTGGGACTGATTGAAGCTGCAAGGCAGATCTAGCTGGGAAATGCCATCTAGAGGCCAAAACGTGCTTTTACCTATTTTTTATTTTTGACTTCAAGTAATCACAGTGCGTGCTCCTTGCACTTCAGTACAATCCTATTCTCTCACCACCTCCCTGTGTGAGGGCAGTGTCATCTCCGCTTCGCACATGAGGAGCTGAAGTTCTCTGCCGTGCTGCGCCACGATTGCCAAAAGCAGTACCATCTTTTCTGTGCCGCACCGCGTCTGAACTAGAACACACCATCCCTCAGGGCCTTCTGTACTTACCAGCTTGGGTTCAGCCGTTACCTCCACTGCACACAGCA